TATATATATATATATATATACACAACATGTATATCCATAATTGAGAATAGCATAATCACTTTTAATTTTCCCGTGATCCACTTTATCCACTTGTAATTTGTAAATATGCGCCATCCCTAGGAAATCTTATCGTCAAATAGTTCCCTAGTCCGTAGAATCTTGAGGCGCGCCACGTTGGCCACTTCCGGCGTCGTGTCGGTCCGCGGAAAAGATACGACGGCCATTTTGTATTATCGGTTTTCGCGTGTGTGCGTGTGTGGTGTTACGATCGCCGAGAATTCCTGCGCTTCTTGAGCCGCGTATATTTGCAAATTGTACGTCGAATTGAGGATCGTTTTACAAAAGTGAGTCACCGTTAATAGCGACAAGTTTCCGTTAATCCGGCGGGAAGATGGGCCGCAAGAAGAAGAAGCAGTCAAGACCTTGGTGCTGGTATCCTTTTTGTTTCCTCGAAGATTGCGACGGCAACGACGACGACCTGCAACGGTCGCTTTTACGTAACCATAATTTTTGGAGCACGACGTTAGTTGTGCGATCTCATAGCGAGGAACTATCGCAATTAGCCGGTGATTTATACAGTGGGTGTCGATCTACCCCTCCATTACATTGAAGAAGCTCGAGGAATCGACGGTGTGGGTTCCGCGGAAGGCGGGGAAATCGATACGCGATTTCCTCGCGTCACACCGCGACATGCGACATCTCTTGTATATACTTATACATGAGAGAGCGCAGCTGTTTCCACTGTCTTCGCGTTCACGCGACGCGTTGCACGATGATGTAACGCGACCGAGAAACCTTCCACGCGGAATCGGATCGATGTTTCTTATCCCACAAAAATAGGAGCAATCTTTGTATTATCTTAGTTTCGCTATTCTTCCGCTTAAGTTTCCTCTAAGTTTTTTTTCTTTTCACTTTGCTGGCTGTTTTTATGTGGAGCAATTGAAAATATACTCTCCTGATCTTTTCAATGACTTGTAAAAATGTTTGAATGCTGTAACCTATGAATTAAATATAGACCTTCCTTAAAGAATGAATTGAAGAAAATCTAAATTTTATTTTGTGAAATCACGAGTAATCTGAATGCTTTCTGATAAGTAGAAGTCAAAAGATGTTGCTTTGTAAGTACTTGTTTGAATGGTGTTAAATTTATAAATTGAACGGTAAGTTTTCATGTAAATAAACTAAGAAATATTTAGAATTTGTTTTGTGACGTTATAAAAATTAACAAAGATTGAATTTTAAAAGTTTATTTACTTGCATAAATTTTGGAACATGAAAACTTAAAAGAAAGATTTTACTTGTAATAATTTCCAATTAGGATTAAATAATAATACATTTTTTTGAGTTGCTGAAAAATTTTCAAGCAAAATTTTAATTTTGAAAATGAAAGATAATTTCGAAAATGTCTAATTTTAAGAGATAAACTTTTTCTACTTTTTTTATGTTTTTTTTAATTTTTTTTTTTTGCAAATTATATGAATTTTAGGTTTGTTATTTATAGTATATTACATATCTAACAAGACTTGACTGAATATATACTCTAAATTCTTTGAATTGGAATCTCACTCTAAAGAGTGAAAATTGAGCTAGAAAACAGCAGCAAATTTTATTCTAAAAGTTTTAAAGAGTTATAAAACTAACTATTATTTAAATCTTATTCTATAAATTTCCTTAACACTGTATTTCAAAAGGTATTGCAATCGTGAATTCGAGGATGAGAAAATCCTCATTCAACATCAGAAAGCAAAGCACTTTAAATGTCATATCTGTCACAAGAAATTGTATACTGGACCAGGACTTAGCATACACTGTATGCAGGTAAATAAGATCCTTATTATCTTAGGTCTTATTGCTTGACAGTATTTTAAGATTAACATGACACTCGTTTTCATAGGTTCACAAAGAAGCGATAGATAAGGTACCCAATTCATTGCCAAATCGTAGCAATATTGAGATAGAGATTTATGGAATGGAGGGTATACCACCAAATGATGCAAAAGAACATGAGAGACAACGAAACGGTGGTAGACCTGGCTCGCCATCATCCGGCGAAGATGAGCCAGTACAGAAAAAACCGAAACCTGAGGGTCTGTTAGGTTCTGCGCCAGGTGCAATGCCTGGCATGGCGACTGGTCTACCCGGGATGCCACCGCAACCAGGTATGCCACCGTTACCTGGTATGGCACCGCATCCAGGTATGGCACCACATCCTGGTATGCCGCCACATCCTGGTATGCCTCCTATGCATCCCATGATGCCAATGGGCCATGTAGGACCTCCGTTTATGGGTCCAGGGTATGTATTTCTCAATTGTAATATTATATCAAATATTTTCATATCAAATTCATTTTTCAATTTTCAATTTCTTTATTTGTTTTTAATTATGATCCCAAAAATTTAGCTTGTTCTTTTATCCAAATGTCAATTTGCTATGTAATGAATAGCCAAGTGATTATCATAAATATTGAAATTATATAATAATATTATAAAAACTTACATAAAATAAAAACAGTGTCGTATACACTGTGTCAATAGATAAAGTCACATCGCTCAAAATGTCAGATTTACTATGTAGTCATTAAAAAAAAACCGAAAAATTAGAGAATTATTTAAATCATTTATCTGAATTTTAATTTTATTAACTTATATGTAAATGTTTCTCACGACTCGACGTAAAAGTCTCGTGGTATGGACAGTGAGAACAAAATAATAAAATCATATAGTTATTGAAGTAAAAATAAAAATAAGAACAAAGGGGGAAAAAGTAACGTCACAATTCCGCAAACAAGTATCATTCTATAAATTCACACTCTGTTTTTGTTACTTTATATGAATCATTTCCGAAATCAATCTTTTATTAAGCAACCTTTCTTCGTCTAATATCTTGACATTTTCCCAATCAAATTCATGCTGATGGTTAATTCTGTGTTTTGTTATTATGGAATGTGTAGTGTTCCAATTTATGTGATTTCTATGTTCATTTATGCATGTACATTCACCTGTTTGACCCACATACGATGCTTCACAATCTTGGCAATCAATTTTATTATATATACAACGTCTGTATGAGATAGTTTGGAACGAACGTGTTTATGATCCCTAATGAACCCCCTAAGATTATTAATCCTCTTATATGCCTATTCATTACATAGTAAATTGGCATTGGATAAAAGAAGAACGAGCTAAATTGTCTGGACCACCTTGAAATTTGCATGATACTAATTGTAGTTATACTTTTAGATAAGGTTACTCATATAATTTAGATTTATATTTTATATTGATAAAGACCCAGATTGAAGGGTCGAAACGTTTATTTATTTCGTTTTTACATTTACACGAGAATAAAAAAATTGTTTTCTATGCATCCGAACAGCTGCTGTTGATTCTGATAAGCTTTTTTTTATATTTTTTACTGATAGATTCTTTCGAGCCTCATTTCGTATATTTTTTTTCTAGCATGATGCCGGGTATGTCAGGCATGCCTTCCGGTATGCAGCCGCCAGTTTCGGGTGCATCGATCCCGCCGGCACGTCCTTTGTTCCCAAGTGCTGCTGTAGCCGTCTCGACAGCAGCATCGACAGCAGCGTCGGTAACCGGATCCGCACCTCTCGGCACAGACTTTAAACCGATCACATCGATAGCTAGCGGTGGCGGTTCAATAGGTCCAGTAAAG